AAAGTCCACTATGAAATTTTCTGATTTATAGAAATAGGAAATCTACAATATCAGAGATATTCATATTGGATTTTTGGGACACTTTAGTAAAAGCATATTGATATCAGTTTATAATGGCAGTCAATGAGGATTTTTGTATGTGACTTATGGCTAAATATATAAAGAACAAGACATTTTTAGGAATGTGCCTGTTTGGTTTTTAAAAAGTAAATATATCAACTATAGAAATCTGCAATATCAGAAAATTCCATAGTGGACTTTTAGAGAAAATGGCACTTTATTAGTAAAGCCATGTTGACAGCGGTTTATAATGGCAGCCAATGGGAGTTTTCATGTGCAACTTAATGGCTAGAAATATTAAAAATCAAAAAAATTTAAAAGTCAATATATTGGCTATAGAAATCTGCAATATCAGAAAATTCCATAGTGAACTTTTGAAGAAAATGACACTTTGGTAAAGCCATATTGATAATAGTTTATAATGGCGGTCAATGGGGATTTCCCAAAATTCAATCGTCAATATCTTTTGACCTAGATAAAATCCAACTTGTAACCATTCTTATTTTGAAGGCATTCAAGTTATGGTTACATACTAGTAAGATTCTGCAGGGGTTCTTTTGAAGATTGATGAATTAACATGGGACTCAATGGAGTTTTCGTGAGCAACTTAATAACTAGATATATTAAAAATAAGAAATTTTTAGAAATGTGCCTGTTTGGTATTTTGAAAGTCAATATATTAGCTGTAGAAATCTGCAACATCAGAAAATTCCATAGTGGACTTTTGGAGAAAATGACCCTTTAGTAAAGCTATAATGAGAGTAGTTTATAATGGCAGTCAATGGGAATTTTCCAAAATTCAAACACCAATATCTTTTGAACTAGACAAAATCTAGCTTGTAACCCTTCTTATTTTGAAGACATTTGAGTCATGGTTAAATACTTGGAAGATTGACTTAATTGCTCTTGAACTGTTCTGCAGGGGGTCTTTTGAAGATTGATGAATTAAAATGGGGCTCAATGGAAACATGCAAAATTCTCAAAGCCTGTTATTATCCACTGGGGCAACTTTTTGACCCCACTTCGGTGGATTTCATATTAAATATATGTAATAATGATACTTTGGTCATAAAATGGTGACGTATATATAGCAAGTGCAATTCAAGGGTTTTATTGTCATTACTGACCGCACTAACAATTAAATGTATGAAATTGTCATATTGTAGATGGTTCAGCTTTACATACCTTATTCTTTTGAAACATATACGAATACCATTAATCAAAGCATGTTCTTCACCCATTTTTGAAGACGTTCAAATTCAATTGTATTGTGCACAAATAACCCATTGAAGACGTGGTTGGGTATATTCGAATTCAAAGGAGGTTATTGAAGCAACTTAAATTTTGAAAATCAAGATGTCGGTTGGGTATTAGGTATATAACATGCCTGAAAACGATATAAGAATATCGATGTAAGGACTGGGAGGTATATCATCAAAGTGAAAAAGGCTAGTTTTGGATAAATCGTGCAATATTAAAGGTTTTATTTATGTCATCTCTAACTTTTGACTTAATTGTCTGTTTTCAACGAGAATTGCACGGATCTTGTGTAAATTTATGCTACAAGCGTAGGTTGCCACAATAATTGCTCTTAAGTTAAAAAAGTACAAATGTCTTTATTTGGTCAAACGTATTACGATTATATCAAAATCAGTCCATCGGAAAGTTAGACCCAATCAAGTGGTACCTGACCTGCGTTGTGAACTTCAATAGGCGAATCTAGAGAATGTAATGAAAGATGATGTAACTATGAGTAAAAATACTAATCTTTTGTAATAGATTTATTTCTAAACAAACCATCGTCTTTGTAATGCTTATATTTCTACGATCAAAATGGTATGATTTTTGAAAAATTTGAAGCAATATTACCAAATCCAGCTTGCTGGAAAATCTGAAAACCGAAATCATGATCAATGAAACTCATCAAGAAACTGTAAATGAGCGATCTCATTTTATTGAAAACTGGAATGTCAGTTATACATTCATAACATAACTATACTACGTATACAGCAGTTACGGTCACTGGTTTCCTTACCTGTTTACTGAATCCATTAACTGTGAAAATTATGTATGGAGTGCCAATGATCCGCCCATAACAGTGGGAGGTCGGGCCTGTTATTGTATCACACTCTGGTGGTTTTACCTTATCCTCTAGACTGTATAATGTGTTTAAGGTGCTATGGAAGTTAACAGGAAATGACAAAAAAGGAAGTGACACATTTTTTGCATTTTTAGACATTTTTTGAACAAAGATAACAGAGTTCTGTTTTGACCTCCAGTCAATTCAACTAGTTCCAAATACCATTTACAGGTCCAGGATCACAATGTTCATGGCCAGATTGACCCTAAGTGACATTTTTTGCACATTTTTTGAACAAAGATAATAGAGTTCTGGTTTGATCTCCAGTCAATTTAACTATTTCCACATATCATTTACATGACGAGGATCACAATGTGCATGGTCAGAATGACACTAATCATGGTGAAATAACCTTTTTAGCCCTTTGAAAGTGAGACTGAAAAAAGGCTAAAAGTAGGAGGTAGCCAAAGGTCACTGAACAGAATCTTTTGAATTTTCAAAAAATGTGCCCAATATAATGTTCTAACTGATACAATCTTTGAAATTTTGGAAAATGTCTTAAACAAAAATGGCGGTCATAAAAAGGAAAATAGATCGCTTTTCAAATCAGTTTTTTCATTCTTTTTCTTTTTCTATGAATGATATCATATTTTCAAAGATTGTATCATTTAGAGCAATATATTGGGCACATTTTCTGAAAAATCCAAAACATTCTGTTCAGAGACCTTTGGCTACCTCCTACTTTTAGCTATTTTTCAGTCACATTTTCATAGGGCTGAAAAGGTTATTTCGTCATGTTTAGGGTCATTCTGACCATGACCATTGTGATCCTGGACCTGTAAATGGTATTTGGAACTAGTTGCATTGACTGGAGGTCAAAACAGAACTCTGTTATCTTTGTTCAAAAAATGTCTAAAAATGCAAAAAAATTGTCACTTCCTGTTTTGTCATTTCCTGTTAACTTCCATAGCACCTTAATAGTATAAAGATAGACTGACTGGCTTAATGTTAACGTTTATATTTCAACTGTTTTTAAATTGAGAATTTCTGTCGATGCCCAAAAAAGAATTTATACCTTTAAAAAAATAAAGATAAACCTTTTATTTCATTAACAAGCTAATTTTTTAAAATCATCAAAATTTTCCTTTGTACAATTACAATATTGAGAGACCTAAAGACGTTGTGTTTATGTCATTTTGTTCCAATGAGATTCGGATAGATGTTTCATTTCATTCCGAACATATATGATACCAATAACAAAAGAAGTGTCTGACGTGTTTTCTAAACCGATATAGAAAAAAGTATTTTTGTTTATTTCAAATTGTAATGTTATCATCCAGATGTTCATTAAATTGACGATGTGAAAAATTTTCAGAATGTTTTGATGACTGGTTTAACAAAAATGCGTGTTCACCATATCGATGCCACTCCTTTAATACTTTTCTTTCATTTCGTATAAAATAACTATAAATAGGCAAGGCTAGTTTAATACCATTTGCTTAGTACAGTATGGGTACTAAAAAACGGATTCTTAACACTCACCGGTATTCTAATTTTAAATTAAAAAATGCCAAGAATTGTCTTCGCCCTTAGCTTAGTGTATTTCATTTAATGTTTATGGCCAACTGAAAGAGCCTCTGGTCAACAGAGCAGAAACATTATTAACAGTTCATTATGGGTTCATAACGAACTTCAATAAGCGAAGTGCACATTTGGTAAAAGACTCAGAGTGACGTCACAGTGTATGGTGTTAAAACTGTATCAAAATTGGACATCTTATATTTATGTGATATCTCTAACACATAGAATAGCGTTTAGCAGAATACATACACAATCCGTGTGATTTCATACACGGTTTGTTCGAGTTTGCACACTTTATGTTTGTAAAATCACACTTGTACATGCGTATTTGTGTATGCATTGTTTAAAAATGACATCGAACAGGGTACACAAATCGAACAAATGCTTATGCGGCTCGCACAAACGTTTTTCCCTCCACAAACCATGATGTGCCGATCACACACCTTGATGTACCGATCACACACCTTGATGTAACATAAATTGCTTTCTAGAGATGTTCGAGATTTTGTTCTAAATCTCGCGTTACCTTTGCACTGAACAAAATAACACATCAGCGCGGCAAAAAGATAAAAAGATCTAGTTTGTAGTTTCTCAATAAATGACCACTGTATGTCTCCCTAGCCTAGGGCCTAGGGTATCCTATTATATATTTTTAATTTAAAATTTACATTTTATAACATTTCAACGGAGGGCGCCATATTGTAGAAACCAGGATGTAAATATCACGTGACTTCAAATCTCGCACCCTATGTGAAGTGCAACTTGTTTGTGACAGCCTATGCGAGCGGGAACCATCCTATGCGAGTTTGTACTCAATGCGTGTGTAAAATTGACACGTTCGTTCGAAATTTACTTTGATCCATGTGTAATTCTTTCAGTATTCTATGCAACTTATAACACAATCCGTGTGACATTTCAACATTGCTTTTGGATTTTTGGAAAGTGATTGGAGTTAGTGCTAACTCTTTGTGTGACACTTGATACAACCAGTGCGTGTGTGAATGAAAAATAGTTATGTAAGAAAATTAACTGTTGGTATAACATGGATTGAAAATGGCATACGATGATGCGAGTTTCGCATATGATGATGCGTATTTCGCATAGTATGATGCGAGTTTCGAATCATATGGTTCGAGTATCGCATCATATAGTTCGATTTTTCCCATACATCATGTAATGTCCAATTTTGATACAAAATAAATTCCATAACAGTGCACTATGGTGTCATAAAGAACTGGACAATGTCATTTTTTATAAAGGAGTGATAGTATTTACTTACATTTTCCCGAAAAACTGAGATGATTGTAAGAAGGTTTCCAAAAACTCCCAATACGGAAAATGTTGCAGCAATGAATATGTAAACTGCAAACTTTCCCGGGGAATGTTCTAAATAAGGAGGGTATGTCCATTGGTAGCTCTGATCTGATCCATTCGTTGTGTTAATTCCGTCTGCCGAATTCACCAGATAGAACTCCATAGGCCTACTCCCTTTCTTGCTAGTTAACGTATACATAAATATATTGGGCGAGACTTGGGATATTATTTATGAGCATATTCATCATTCTTGGCAACTTCTCAGCAACTTGGTCAGATAGAGGGGTAGCCGAGCGTAGTTGTTTATCGAATCGGCAATACGTGTAATGGAATGTGGTCGCTTACCTTAGATGACCGAATAACCCGGCCCTGTTGGTGGCCATTGGTTGGCATGGTCGCAGTTGGCCCGTCGTTGGCTGCCGCTAATACCAGGGAGCCAACAATCCCAGATAGCACAACTCTGATGGGCCAACGTTGGCCCAACAATTACGTATCTGTTGGTCCAACGTTGGCTGAGATGGTTGGCCCACCGTCGCTATGTCCATTGGCCCAACGTTGGCCCACCGAAGTAAATTGTGTCAATAGTGGGCCAACAATGGGCCAACGTTGGTTCTTTGGTGGCTGCCAATGTTGGACCAACGTTGGCCCAACGTTGTTGTGCTATCTGGGTAGCACTAAAGTACTGTTGGACCAACGTTGGGCCACCCACCTATCTGTTCCCTCTGCAAGGCCAACGTTGGGCCAACATTGCCATTAGCACTAAAGCATTGTCGAGCCAACATTGGACCAACGTTGGGCCAACATAATTTTTGCCAACATTGGACCAACGTTGGGCCAACATAATTTTTTGCCACTGTTGGACCAACGTTGGCCCGCTGGACAAAATGACGTTGGGTCAACCGCTCAAGCCGACGTTGGGCCAACAGATGCGTAGTTGTTGGCCCAACGTTGGCCCACTGGCGGTGTGCTATCTGTGCCAACATTGGACCAACGTTTGGCCAATATAATTTTTTGCCACTGTTGGACCAACGTTGGCCCGCTGGACAAAATGACGTTGGGTCAACCGCTCAAGCCGACGTTGGGCCAACAGATGCGTAGTTGTTGGCCCAACGTTGGCCCACTGGCGGTGTGCTATCTGTGCCAACATTGGACCAACGTTGGGCCAATATAATTTTTTGCCACTGTTGGACCAACGTTGGCCCGCTGGACAAAATGACGTTGGGTCAACCGCTCAAGCCGACGTTGGGCCAACAGATGCGTAGTTGTTGGCCCAACGTTGGCCCACTGGCGGTGTGCTATCTGGGACCTATCGATAAATCAGTGCAAAATTGCAGTTGGCAAATTGTAGTTGGGCCAACGTTGGCCCGTCGTTGGCTGCCGCTAAAACCAGGAAGCCACCTATCGATAAATCATTGCAAATGCTTTGCCTAAAAATAGAAGAAAAACATACCAGCAGTCATTAAAAAAAATTAAGGTAAATTTTATGTAATATTTTCTTTCAAAATTATCTGATAATGTTGTTTACCTCAAAAAATATGGATTTTTGCCTTGTAATACAGTTGAAACCACTTATAAGGCTACCAAATATATTTAGTATGGAAAAACAAGCCACCATATTTTATTGATGTAAAACGGATAACATATGTGAACACATTTTCAGTAGCGGTACTGAATGCCCAGATAGCACAAAGACGTCAGGCCAACGTCGCTATTGGTGACCATTGGTTCTCAAGGTTGCAGTTAGCAAATTGTTCATGTGGCCTGTCGTTGGCTGCCCAGTGAGCCAACAATGGCTGTACAAAAAAGTAAATCGTGTCAACGGTGGGCCAACGTTGGTTCTTTGGTGGCTGCCAATGTTGGACCAACATTGGCTGACGTGGTTGGCCCACCGTCGCTATGTCCATTGGCCCAACGTTGGCCCACCGAAGGAAAATATGGTTGGCCCAACAATGGACCAACGTTGGGCAAACCATATTTTCCTTTGGTGGGCCAACGTTGGGCCAATGGACATATAGCGACGGTGGGCCAACCACGTCAGCCAACGTTGGACCAACAGATACGTAATTGTTGGGCCAACGTTGGCCCATCAGAGTTGTGCTATCTGCGGGCGATTGCAAAAATTAAGTTATTTCATCCTTAAAAGATTTCGACCAAAACAAGAGATACCTTTGTTTTTAAAATCTTTAACATCTTATCAAATATATTTTTCTTTTTTCAAATGGGCACAGTGTCAGGCTTTTTCTTTTTGATTGTTTCCAGTTTCCAGTCTCATCTAAACCAGAGACATTGTTAATTTGTGCCTGTCAGAATTGGTTTGAAAATAATTATTGCCGATTATAAATGATCAAATCGGTAAAGCACTGTCCTGTATTTCCGACCAACTCTCAGTCTATTTAGAAAATATAACGCAATTTATTGATGACGGGACCCTCATAGAATATCCATATATAATATTTTAGTAAGGCGTTCGATAGTGCTTCTCACGAGCAACTACTGGTAAAACTACAATCCTCATAAAATAACAGGAAAATTGTCCGAATCCCTATGGTCCGAATCCCGATAGTCCGAATCCCAATCGTCCAAATTCCAATGGTCCGAATTCCAATGGTCCGAATCCCATTCGTCCAAAATCTAATGATCCGAAAATTAACAATTGTCGATGTGATATTTTTGAGTGACCACAGGGAAATATCATGATAGAAAGAATAAAACATCTTAACTCAAAGTATCTAAAAGTTGCAATCAATTCCGTAACCCAAATCCATGCTAAGCAAATAACCCAAATCCATGCTTAGCAAAGACCCGAAGATGTCTGAAAATGTAGGGATAAGTTAATAAACTCCTGTAATATAGATAAAACACAGAATTGTTTGTAACCGATATAGTTGTCGTTCCAGGCACTCTGTTTGCAGAATAATGAGTACTTAATTCGATATTAACCGTATCAAATCGTTAAATTCAACTTCTAAATATTTGAATGATGTTTTACATCTTAAATAAGTAAGAACCATATGGCTGTATTTGGTCCATTTGATTCAAAGATACAATAGGTGTACATGCAAATATATCACATTTGTTTCATTGCCATACGTTGCATATCATTGAAATCAACGGTGAAAGTTGAAAATGAAAGAACCGATTATACCACGAGTACGATTCTATAAAACCCGATGCTACCGCCTGAGTATTCCGATTATACTGAGTAAAACCCGATGAGGTAGTGAGTAAGTTCTTGGATGATCATATAATAACATGACGTTTATCACAAATCTTCCTGTTTATTTATCATATACTCCTGGCGTCGGCATATAATATAATATGATATAATTCTCGCAGCACTATACATCAACGTCTGCACTTGTGGAACTGGGGAGGGACCTGCCCCCCTTGGGTGGGCCCAGAACAAATTGAGAAAAGACACCAAAAAGTGGGCCATTTTGGTCATTACTGGGACACTATAACACAGACTCTGTGTCCCGCGAAGTTCTTTAAAACATTGAATTCATGCTTTCACTCGAATCACCATAATTTTCATTGTTGATGATATCATCACTTCTATCTTACTATGCTCATAATTCAATGATTTTGGTACGAAATTTGGTCCTTCGACCTCGTTGCCATGTTTTATTCAAAATCTGAATTATTTATACTCAAACTGAACAGGTGTTAAACAAAGTGATTACATGAATACATTTAAATCAATATGGTTCGATACCATTCTAAACGAAATGAGTGTTTAATGAGGCCACGAAATATAAAATTTCGTTAAATAGGAATATTATGTAAGTCTCAGGTAATAAGAAGAATTGGATGCTCAAACTTTAGACTAGAATCATATGATGATAAAAGCCTCTAGAAAGTGAAAGTACTTATATTTCAACGAGCAGGCAAGAGACCTATATCAAAATACTCCCTTATATATAACAAAAGATCTATGAGATTTAACATGGTGAACGAGGTGTCAAAATAATATTCTTCATCCCTTAACTAGTTCAAACTAGTTCTCGATAGTACCAACAATATCCATCATTCGGATTGGTATCACCTAATGTCAATGCAATGCAAAGATCCTCGAGACTATTTTTTCAAAATTCAGTCGTGATATACTATCAGTATCTTTTTGGCATGCAGCATTCTCTCACAAGTGAATTATATCCTGCTGCTACAGAGGAACATGTTCTTAGTTGTCAGATGTGAGAGAAAGATACTATGTATTAGCTAATGATCATGCCTTCTGCAATAACATCATATTGGATCATAAAAGGTGTGAGACAAATTTCTACCAGGAGCATGATTTACAATGTCAGTATTTGTCTGGTTCATTTAATCTGCTTTTCAGTTTAGTAATAAATTGTGTGGAAACATTGAAACGTGTAAAAACGACCTTGTATACCCCATTGTTCAAAATGGCTGATGACAGCCTGTGGTGATGATACATATATACTGAAAATATGTTTCCATATAACATTGCATGTATCAATGTAAATTTTATAGTGTTATTTGGTAAACTGATTTGTGTTTGCAAAGGTTTTGAATATATTAAAATATGCATTTTTGGTATGATATTCTAGCTTTACTTAAAGAGGCAATAAGGACTGTAGAGAGAAAATTTGAAAATTCTTATTTTTTTTGAGCTATCAGGTCAATATTTGGCTTAAGGATGTTCCCTGGTCAGATAGGAAAATATTCAATAGTATTTAACTTTTTCTCAAAAATGGTTTTCTGGTATTCTCACGGGCAACAAAGAATATTAAAACTTTAAAAACCATATGTTAGTGTGCTTTTTTCTGAGCAAGAGGCCTCTAAAGTGTCAATATTTGACAAAAGTGGGCGTGGCACTTTCTCATTGAAACCCATGTTAAAAATCAGGTTTTCACCCCAAAACACACTTTTGAATATTTAACTTTTTCTTAAACTCACAGAAACACTTAGTTATGCTATGTACTTCACATTTTGAAAAGAAAAATTAGGGGTTGGTGTTCATCGTTTTCAACTTCGTCCAGGGAACATCCTTAATACCTTCTTTGACATACCTATTTTCATAAAATGTATGTATAAACTATCAATTTCAGCATTAAGAAGTGTAAATTCAATTCAAAGCTTCTATAAAGGGAGTCCCACTTATAGATTTTTAAGATCCACCATGTTTCAAGAGGAATATCAGCTGAAATAATGTTCATCCAGAGGGTTTCTTTGTAGATAATGAAAATATATGTT